CAAGCCTGTGAATGGTGCAATAAATGACTCCTCGAAGTTAGCTTTAGCTACCGTCGTTAAGACCCGTCTGCAGGCCAAATTTACGGCAATCCACTCTCTGAAGGACTCCTTCATTGTCGTCTGCACAGACGACACGGAAGCATCAAAACTAATGGACGACTCTTCAATCAGGACCCTACAAACACAACAATTCACTCTATCCCCGTCTCCATTCTTGAAGTCGAAACGTTCGGTCTTTGTGAAAAGACTGGAAAATATGGTCACCTCTCTCTCTACTGAAGCACTGAAGACATCTATTGAGGAACAAAACACCTGGGCCTCGGTAGACAGCATCTACAAGATCCCTAACGCCTCATCTATGCTAAAGATTACATTCTCAGACATCTCCATGGCTGCCCAAGCTCTCTCTGATGGTCTGGCCATCTCATATTACCACATTCACCCTAGTCATATAGAACAAGAACGTTTCACATATATCTCCCACTGCTGGACCTGCTACTCCTATAAACACACCACCAAGGACTGCCCCACCAAGGATAAGAAGTTTTGTTCAAAATGTGGGAATGGTGGACACGATTTCAGATCCTGCACCATTACTACAGCACCAACTTGTCTTAACTGCAAGGGTAATCATCATACCCTTGCAGCTAAGTGCCTACTCAGGAAAGAAATCATATTGAAGAAAACTAAAGTTCTGAAGAACACCTCCAATTCACCGACATACGCTGCAATAACCAAACCACAAACCGACACCACCAAGACTCTACACGCTAATCTACAGGCACCATCGCCCAGCAACTCCCTCTCTCCACTCCCAGACAGAGATTCCTCCAAGGTGCTGTACTGCATGGTGTATGCACACCTTGCAAACGCAGCAAACCCCGGCACTTTCAACACCACTATTAACGAACTATTCCGTCTGAACAACATGCCTGCCTTTAATTTTCCGGACTCCACACCTTCAGCAGACATCCTCAAGATCCTTCCCAACGTCCTGAACTTTACTGCACCTGCAGACCTGTCTCCTGCCCAAGCAACTACTCCTGTAACTTCTATAACCACTTCCACCGCTGACAACGTTGATCATGTTGCCTCAACCACCGTCTCCTACCTCTCCCAGCCTGCTGTTACACAACCATTACACATTACAGCTGCTCCTGTCGACCCTCAGTCACCTGTTACCACCATTGTAGATTCTCTCAATGAATCCACTCCAGAAGAGGAAGATAACGACGACTCCAGTAAACCCTCATGGGAAAACCTTACCTTTTACACTTCTTCTTCAAATACTGACACCATGACCTGTACTGAACTCTACAAAAGCCTCGGTGCTGGAACAGTCAAGTATGCATGTGAATCACTGCTTCACTTCACACTCACCCAAGTTCTTGAGTTCATCAAGCGTCTACGTTTTACCTTCAGTAACAAGGCTAAACTATACCACCTATCTAGGAGCAGCTTCAAAAAGTTCGAAAATGGCTCCATTGCTAACTTGCCTCCTCAGTTACTCCTATAATTTCCATATGTGACCTAGCCTGCTGCCAGCTACTCAAGATTCAAGACTTCAACTACCACAAGTTCGATGCAACAGTCCCTGCTATTCCTGTTCTCAAGTCTGCCCCACGATCGCCTTAGCTGCTGGGTTAAGCCCTGGCTCTATTTCTCTGACTAAGAACACTCCTCTCTAGAGCTATTCTTCGTCTGTCCCGTCTTCCCCGCTCATCCCATTGGGATCTTACCTGAACTTATTTGATTTGATTTGATTTCCTTCTCGTTAGTGTGACTTTGCAAATGGTCCAAGTCGGACCGACACGTCGTCGTAGCTCATCTATTCTATGTGCGGGTTATTTGTGTATAAAACTATAACAGAAGTTTTGAGTTTTATATAGCAGATTGACTTGAAAAAACTCAAGTGAAACTTGTAAATTCGTGAGTCCAACAATGACTGTATGTGAAGAGGACAGCTTCTCTGGTTTGAAATAAATTAAAATTTACTCCAGAAATTCTCAATGTCTAAAATAATTGTAAAGTTTTGCCCTTCTATCGTCAGTTGCAAAGGTAATATTGTAAAATACTTAGCGTCAGCCAGAATTTCACAGCCAAGTTAGTGATCACCTCAAAAACGAAGTTTACTAAACTATGAATCAATAGAAACAATTATTTAATATTCTTGCTCCAGCCTTAACAAGCTTAAGTCAGTTGCTTAAGCTTTAACAACAAGCTTAACAATGTCATCTGCTTTTCTAGTAATATTTCCAGTGAGCGTCACTCTTGTCCTCAGTTAAGGTCGTGATCGTCCAGCAACTAGACAGACACAAGACACAAGCTTTTAATATGAAGTTTATATAGTACTGTACTGGTATTTAAAGAAACTTAAAATATTGATTTTTTTCTGCTTTCTATTTGCCTTCAAAGTACTTTTTTCAATGTGAGGAGAGAGTGGAACTTTCTACCCGTAATGGAGCTTCCTTCTCTTACTAAGCTTAATATCTTCTTTGTTTACTTGAAGTTGTCTAGAAGGTAATTCTAGTATATAGTAAACTGTAGTCGTCCTCATGAGAGGCTGACTGGCTTACATTCATGATCATCATGTCATACTACACGCATATTAATTCTTTATTTACTTCTTCCCTTCTGTTAATACACTCATGTCTACTGTTGATTTATAACATGACGGATTCACCTTAATGTCAATTTGTGTTGAGGTATTTATGCCCAGTGCATATACAAATCTAAATTTCATTACGTTGATGTGTTTGACAGCATTATGATGGGCTGACAGTTTGTGTAAATGGAAACTGAAGTGAATGCAAAAAAGAGCAATGTGATTGTGTGAAGGAATTTTGTGAAAGTGATTAACCAGACTTAGACTATGATCTATTCTGATTAACCAGAATGAGACTATGATCTATTCTGATTAACCAGAATGAGACTATGATCTATTCTGATTAACCAGAATGAGACTATGATCTATTCTGATTAACCAGAATGAGACTATGATCTATTCTGATTAACCAGAATGAGACTATGATCTATTCTGATTAACCAGAATGAGACTATGATCTATTCTGATTAACCAGAATGAGACTATGATCTATTCTGATTAACCAGATTGAGACTATGATCTATTCTGATTAACCAGAATGAGACTATGATCTATTCTGATTAACCAGAATGAGACTATGATCTATTCTGATTAACCAGATTGAGACTATGATCTATTCTGATTAACCAGAATGAGACTATGATCTATTCTGATTAACCAGATTGAGACTATGATCTATTCTGATTAACCAGATTGAAACTATGATCTATTCTGATTAACCAGACTTAGACTATGATCTAGCCTGACTAACCACTGTAATAAGACTATGATGTAGCCTGACTAACCACTGTAATAAGACTATGATCTAGCCTGACTAACCATTGTAATAAGACTATGATCTAGCCTGACTAACCATTGTAATAAGACTATGATCTAGCCTGCATTCTCCACTGTGAAGCCATCGCAGTGTGTTGCTGTTTCGGGAAGCATATCTGGTCGCAGGGCCTGTTAGAGTATCTCAGAACCTGGCTCCACCAATGAACTTTTGGTCACAAACTCCAACATTATCCCTAAGTTGTTCAGGAAAAACTGTTGCTGCAGGTTCACTGAATGCCACACACGAAGACTGGAACGTAGGCAGTGCATTCTGTGTTGCCTTGCGGACACCAATACCTCCTAGTCTGACTGGTGGTGTATCTTGTTCCTACTGTCCATCTTCTACTTTCGTGAACATCAACTTCAAGAGACTGTCATATCCATGCAGTAAGGGGCTGCCGTATGAGGGTGTACATCTTACAGACTATGTTAGCCTGGGCAGAGTAAAGCACTCTGTGAGAAGATACAAGGCGTCGTGGGCGTCTATATTGCCTATTCGCTGTTCCTTTCTCTTCAAATCACCCAGTTTGTTCTCTACAACTGAGTCAATGGCATCATTTCCAAGAGGTGTTCCAAGCAGGATGCTATTTGTCCGGCCAATGACCGACGCGCATGGAAGTATGGCTCTCACTGCATGGATCACCTGCTGAGTGACTGACATGATTTCATATTTGGATAGATGAGACCTATAGCCTGTCCCCGCGCCATTCATCACCTTAGTATGATCTGCTAGAAAGGTCTTCCTTGTGCTTGCCAGTGTAACATCATCCATGAACTATATATATAATATATATATATATATATATATATATATATAATATATATATATATATATATATATATAATATGACAATTATATTCATATTATACATATAGGAAAAAACATACAAACACATACACACATATAGTTAAAATAAATGTATATTGCTATGCAAATCTGGGTAGTAACCTTGGCCATTACAAAAGGTCTCCCACTAATAATACCAAATGAACCACAATGGAACAACTTGAAACAATTAAAAATGAACAGTAATATTAACAACACTGTCAGAGACGTGTTAGCATTATTAACAACACTGTCAGAGAAGTGTTAACAATATTAACACTGCCAGAGAAGTGTTAATATTAATATTAAGCTGAATGCGGTCACTGCCACATTGTGTACACAAGAGTGTACACATGAATGTACATATGGTTGGGTGCACACTGGAGTGCACACAAGCCTCGGTGTACCAAGATCATTTTACACAGGTTTGGAGATGCTCACTAAGTCTCTAAAACAAACACAAACACACACACACACACACACACACACACACACACAACACAACAAAACAAAAACATCCTAAAACATGCAATTAAACAAACAAAACAAGAAGCAAACCCAAGACAATGAGGCGGTGAATGTAAACCACAAACCAAAAATAAGTTTGAAGTGAAGTTAATAAGATAAAGCAAGGCGGGGATCGTGAGGGGTGGGCGTGAGGGGTAGGCGTGAGGGGTAGGCGTGAGGGGTGGGCGTGAGGGGTAGGCGTGAGGGGTGGGCGTAGGTGTGATGGTGAGGGGTGGGTGTATATACCTGGCGAGCCTGGAGAGGTGAGGGAGGTGCGACCTTTTCTGCGGAGGGTGGATACTCTGCTGACTGGCTCACTGTAGCAACGACCTGTAGAGAGGGACTGTCACGGACCCAGGGAGGGAGGGAGGGAGGGAGGGAGGGACGGACGGAGAGAGGGAGGAAAAGGAGAGGTTGAGTTCGCGAAGAGGAGGGAGGGAGGCATAGTGGCGGGGTAAGAGTGGGGTGTAGGAGGTGGGTGTGGTTGAGAAAAAGAAGGGATGGATAAAGAAGACAGAAGGGAGTGGATAAAGAAGATAGTGGAGTGGATAAAGAAGACAGGAGGGAGTGGATAAAGAAGACAGGAGGGGGGTGGATAACGTAAAAAAGACAAATGGTCAAACATGGAACAGGTAGAAGATAGAATCAACATGAACAACATGGAAGACACATACCACATAAACATCAACATTAAACAATGTAGTATGTGTTACCTTATCAATCAAACCATTCAACCAGATTCCCTTCATGTTAGCCAAGAGCTCTTGAGCCAAGGAACTGGAGTACTCCTTTCCTCAGATCAAACTTAACTTCCCAGGCACTGAATGACCCCTTACGAGTTTATGGCTTCCTTATCAACATAACAATGACGTGTACAGTACGCGTATGTATTATCATAAGTATTGTTTACTCTATTATAAGTAACGTAAATAAGTAAGGTAAGTACTGTTTATCATAATAAGTATTTTTTACCATTATAACAAAGTATTGTTTACACTATAAGTAAGATAAGTATTGTTTACTCTATCATAAAGTATTGTTTACTGTTATAATAAGTAAGGTAAGTATCGTTTACTCTTGTAAGATATAAGTACTGCTTACGCTCATAAGTAAAGTAAGTTCTGTTTACTCTCATACGTAAGGTAAGTACTGTTTACACTCATAAGAAACAAGGTAGGTACTTCAGTTTACACTATGAAAATCAGTATCTTCAAAAATAACAATATATTTTTGTTGATATTACGTAACTATAAATGCAGGTTTCTGGCTTTTATTATTCATGTTTGTGTGAATTTAATCCTGGTGTTAAGTTCAGACTTGTACTTTGTTAGTTAAAATTGTGAAATTGAAACAGGCAACAATTACTCTGCAGTATGATCGTCAGTCCTCATGCATATAATACACCACTGCCAGACATAAGATGGAGATTAAGTTAAATTATATGAACACAGATTCACGTAAATACGATTCAGAACAATCTAACATGCTGTGAAATGCATTCTGATGCTATAATTTCCCCTCTATAAATATGTTGCGTCATAGTTTTGAAGAAGGATTAGGCTGAAACAGGAGCATCAATGATTGTCTTTTTAATAATGCTGATATCTGATTCCAGGGAAGCCTAGTGAGGGGTAAATCATCATCAATGAGAGGAATTCCCTTGGCTAGGGTCATGAGCAGGGGGTCATCACACTGCTGGTTGTCCCTCTCTCACTATCACCCCTACAATAGAATGCTGCCACCAGCACTGCACAATGATATATTCAGCATCGCAGATTTTGATTTATTAAGATTCCTAAAGCTTTTCCGTGATCCACTATTATGTGGGTTTAGAAAAAAAACTCCCGAGTTTGCTTTCAAGCACTGAAATATAACTATAGTAATTTCTTTGATTTTTTATCAATTAAATCACAACATGATGTTAATTACACGTCAGAAGAATTCAAAGATAAAAGAATAAAAGAAATTCTGGTTTAATTTAGCTAAATGACTTGAAAAATGACTTAAAGTAACTACATACATGATTGAATTTTAATGGTTGCAACAATGGCTGCAGGTGAAGAGTGTGGCTTCTCTGCTTTGAAACTAATTAAGCCTTACTCCACAAATTCATAAGATCAAGAAAGATTATAATTATATGCCCTTCTATCAGTTAAACAGGAATTACTGCAAAATATTTAGTCAGAATTTTAGTGACTTTACTGATCACTTCTAAGAGAGTCAGAAAGAAATACACTGAACGATGATTCAGTAAAACCAAGTGTCTTAAGTTATATCAAACACCTTCCAAATATCATTGTTTACCTTAGTAATCTTTTTCACCACACGCCACTGAACAAACTTTAGGACGAATGAACACTACAATATGAAGTGAACGCTACATTATGAAGTGAGCACTACAGTATAAGTGAATACCTACAATATGAACACTATAATATGGAGTGAATACTACAGGATGACGTGAACACTATAATATAATGAATACTACAGTATGGAGTGAATACTTTCAATATGAAGTGATACAATATAAGTGAATAATACACTATAAAATGAACACTACAAAAAAGTGAACACTACAATATGAAGTGAAAACTACAATATGAAGTGAATAATACAGTATGAAGTGAAGTACAACAAGACGTAGAGTTCCACACCCCAAAACAAAACACACACACACACAACCCCAACACACCACACACACACACACACACACCCCACACACACACACACCGGAGGAGAGGGGGACAGGAAATATGGAACGCTAAGTTGTTGGAGATGGCGATGTAAAACTTCACGAGTCAGCACATCAAGGACACAATTAGAGAGAGGAGGTGAACCTGCGAGGCTGGACCTTACATTCACCTTAAGTGATTCTGATGTAGGGGACACTGAATATGAGAGACCCGTCAGTGCTAACGACCATGCAGTACCGAGATCTGAATACCCAGTGGAACTGAACACGAAGAGAAACACGCAGAATGAAGGGGCCAAGCCTGACTTCAAAATAGCCTACATAGACATGAGACAATTCCAAAATGGAGCTCCTTAGAAACCAAGGAAAGGAAGCTAGATAGAAAGACTAACGAAACGGATTATGTAGCTGCAAAGTGCCGAAAGGCAGAGAGATTCATACCCAGAAGCAGAAGCACTGACAGGAACAGAATGATCCTATAGTTCACCCAGAGGTGCAGAGACAGAAAAGCTAAAAGTGCAAGAGCATGAAAGACATATAGGAAGCAAAGACTGCCAGCAAATAGGAAACCAAGCAAAAAAAAAAAAAACAGAAACGAATATGCATAGGTAAGAAGAAAAGCTGAATAATAATGAAAATATAGCATTAATCAAAGTCCAATCTAAGCCAAAGTTTTCGTATACCAACATCAGAAAGAATACAACTGTGAATGATAGGTAATAGGGCTGAAGAAGGATGAAGGGTAGCTCATTTAAAAAGACCAGAGGTCTTCAAGAAGCTGAGCAGAAGATTTATAGACGTATCCTCAATGGAATCACGAACACTGCCGGAGAGTCAAAGAGGGAGGAAGCCCCAACGAATACTGGACACAATACACAAAGGAAGATGTGAAGAAACTAATGAGAAAGCTAAATACCTCGAAGGGGGCCAGACATATCTCCGTGGGCTGTATGCAAGGGAAAACAAAAAAACTTTGGGAATCACTAGCTGTGATCTTCAACAAGGCACGTCCCAGATTTCTGGGAACATCAAATGTAATCCCGATATTTAAAAAAAATTGAGCAGACAAATTGTATTAAACTACAGTGTCACTAAACCATACCCCCGGCCGGGATTGAACCCGCGGTCATAGAGTCTCAAAACTCCAGCCCGTCGCGTTAGCCGGGGGTATGGTTTATTTGCAATCGTGTCATTACGATTTCTTGAGTCAGTACAGTGTCACTGACAGGCACAGTACATAAGGTTATAGAGATTATCAAGAGAAGAGTAGTGCAGCATCTGGAAATTAGTGAATCCACAAACAACAACCACCAGCATGGTTTTAGAAATGGTAAATCCTAGCTCACAAACCTGCCAGAGTTCTATGATAAGGTGACGAAAGTTAAGAAGGAGAGCGGGTGGCTGGACTATATTTTTGGACTGTCAGGCATTCGATACAGTAACCCACAAGAGACCGGATTGAAAGCTAGAGTAGGAGACAGGAATAACAGGGAAAGCAGTAGGGTGGAACAAAAATGCTTACCTGGAATGAAATAATGTATTATGGTCTGGGAAGAGGTGACGGAATGGGTAAGTGTGACCTTCCACAAGGGTCAGTATGGTCACTAGTACTGTTTCTTGTGTATGTATCCATGACAGAAGTTGAGTCAAAGGTTTGTAGATGTGACACTAAAAAGAATACAAACAGAAGCAGATCAGGAAAGACTACAAACTTATCTGGACAAACTGCAGGATTGGTTTGACAAGTGGCTACTAGAATTTAACTTCAGCAAATGCAAAATTATGAAAATCCTGAAAGAGCCAAGACGACTGGAAACAATGCCAGCTTGAGAGAAAAAGACTGTTAACCTCCCTGAAAGAGTAGAGTCTCGGGGTGAGCATAGCTCTAAGCATATCGGGAGCCACACATCAACCGAATAGGCGCCACAATAAACACGGAAATGGCGAATTTAAGAAAAGCTTTCACGAACCTCAGCAAAAAGTCATTCACGACACTATATATTAGTTAGGCTCATCTTGGAGTATGCAGCACCACTAAGGAACTAGCAAATGATAACACAAGGTAAGAAGCTGGAAACAGTGCAAAGGTTTGCAGCTACCGACGAAACTAGTCCCAAAGATAAGAGGAGGCTAAACAGGAGAGGAGAGGAGAGGCTAAAAAAGCTAAAGCTGATGATTTTAGAAGACAGAAGGACCAGGGGTGTCATGATTACGATGTGCAAAATAGTGAGAGGGATTGACAAAGCAGACAGGGCAAATTTGTTTGAGAGGCGGGTCTTGGTACACGAGGGAAAAGCTGGCAGTTAATATATCACAGATGCTTCACAAGGATATCAGGAAATGCTTCTTTATAGAAAACCGGTGGTCAGGAAGTGGAACGACCTATACAGCTTAGTGATAGAGGCAGAATCCATATACAGTTTTAAGAAGACGTATGATAGGGCTCGCGCAGCTAGGAGCTGAGAGGGGAGCCCAGGAGCTTCAACTCGACCCCTCCAACCACAAATAGGCGAGGCGAGTACAGACAGACACAGACACAGACAAAGACACACACATAAATATTTTATTATTGTAAAAATTTAAAAAAAGTGTTTAATCAAGAGAGAGCCTGAGCAGCTACATCCAAAGATTTTTTCTCACTTGTTTTTCTTCTTTTACCCATTTTTCCCTTGCTTTGTTTTGCAGCACAAATACTCAGCAGGAGGCGCCGTTAACAGTGGCCATAACAGAAATACAAATGAGGGGAGTCAAACCAACCAGTGTAGCAACCACAAAGAAAACCCACCATTTTTGATGTTTGTGGAATCCAACGCTACGCTGATAATACCTTGCTCTCTACTTTGATAGGATGGCTGGGGGTGGGGAAAGGGGGTTGTAGGGGAGTTGGGGTGATGTGGAGGGGGCGGGGTATGGCTACAGTAGAGATCTGAGGAGGGGAATATCAAGGGTAGTGAGTGGGGGAGGGAGCACTGGGGTGGAGGGGGAAGCACCTGAATGCAAATGGAGTCACCAACCAAAATAAAACAATGAAAGAAAGAGTAAGAGAGGAAAACCTTAATATTATGGTGATCACAGAGACAACACCCTGATATTATAGTGTTAATAGACGCACACTGATATTATAGTGATCATAAAGACAACACCCTGATATTATGGTTATCAAAGAGACAATACACTAATATTATAGTGATCATAGAGACAACACACTGAAATCACTTCCTACGACAGCAAGAAGTTCTGAAGATGGTGATAACGATAACTCTGGGCCTCCTTTAGGAGGCCCAGGGTTATCGTTTACTACAGACATAATATGCAAACAAGATGGCTGCAACTACAGGAGCACCAACTCGGGGCCTCCTAAGAGTGAAACACCCTGTAGTTGAAATATCTAATGCAATGGTCTGCTAGTTTTAGAACTGACTTATCATGGGTTCAAACCCAAGATCATTCCATGATTTGATTATAGAGAAAGTTTCACAAATAAACTGACTAGGAAACCTGGGACCTTCTAGGGATGGGGGTCATCATAAACATGGAGAGCAAAGGTAAAAGAGACAGTAACAGGAAACGCTTAGTTAACACCTCGGCGAAGATACAGGGATAAACAGCAGGCATGAGCCAGCAAGTCTACTTGATATTCACTCTGAAACAAATCAAATTTCGTGAAAAATGAATACTGAATGCGAGTAGGTGTAAGTTATCGCACAGCGCTAACCTATAACTATCTAGAAGAAATACAACTAGAGAATAAAATGGTAGCGCAAAATGTCAAATTAAACAAAAGGAGATTAAGAAGGTATCAGAAATTTCCTGAGAGAAGTAAACTGGCTGGAGAGTAGCCAGCCCAAGAAAAGATGTAAAGATTGGACATAAAATGTAGTGACATCCACGGAACATTTATACAAGATATGAAGAGAAAACAAAGGATCTTATGGATCAAACAAGATCGTAGAGACAAAAGCAAAAACGGAGGACAGAATGGAGTTGGAAAAATGTAAATCACAGAGGATAGACAAAAGCAGGAAAACGAAAGAGTTAAGAATAAGTATGGAGTACGAAGAGAGGGAGGAAAAAATGTAAATTACACCATGTAAGGTGAAAACAGAAGCCTTCATAGTCACGTAATGAAAATGACAGTAAATTATCAAGTGATAAGACTGAACAAGGAAGAACACATTTGATAAACGAGAGAGAGAGAGAGAGAGAGAGAGAGAGAGAGAGAGAGAGAGAGAAACTTGCAAGGAACTCAAAACTAAGGTAGTAAGGGAGCCTAGATATTTCTACCCACACTAGGACACGTCAAGGCAAAAGTGGGATGCAGAAATACAGCAGATATACGAAACAATGCCAGGGTGAAGGTTTTAAAGGAATAACTGGACCTCTACCTGAGACAAGTGCCAGATCAGCCAGGCTGTGATGACCATGTAGGCCTATGAGATGATTTCAGCAACATCTTGGTTAACCAGTCAATAATGAAGTCTAGCCCGACTTCAAGAGCGAAAAACTCCCAAAACCTGTGACAGGCTTGTAACATTCTCATGGGTACTGACCTAAAGGCTGCTATCACTGACATGTTTCCCACTCAGAAGGTTACTGGAGCACTTGGAGAGTAGTTTCATTAGTGGAAAAAAAAAAAACATGGATTCAGAGATGAGAGATCCTTTTTAAGGAACCTACTGAAGTTGTACGACAGTTAATTAAATAAATCAAGAGAAGGAACTGGATGGCCTGCATATTCATAAACTAAAAGTCTTTAATACAGTGACCCGCCAGAGGCTGATCCACAAGTTACATGAGCAAAAGGGGACAATTTTTAAAGTCATCCAGTGGATCGAAGAGAACCTGAAACAAAAAACGAAGAGTGACAGAAAAAGACAAGGTTACTAGAAGGGTGAGGATAACGTGTTGTCTCTCTCAAGAATCACAGCTATCAGCAATACTGACACGCATAGTCTGCCAGAGGGACTCAATCGTTTAATAAAGATATGCCCAAATGTTAACCACGTGTCTTACTTATCAACTTGTCGGTATTGTATACCACTTTTATATTAACACTAACTGTGTAAATAGCTGCTAAGCTATTAAAATTAATAGGAGAGAGAGGTTAGAGTCAGCCTTCAAAGACAGTGAGGCTACAAGTGTGGTCGAAGAAGCTGCTGGAATTCAGTCTTTGAATTCGGGGAAGAAAGCAAACTGGAGAAGTGAGAGATCGAGGGAAGAACTATGTTTATATTTGAAAGAAAAGGATTTTGCTGTGATCACATCGAATAGCACGAATACCATCACCCTCACCATCGACACATTCAATATTAACCCAACGATATCTTTGTCCCCCACCAACACACCACTACCAACACCCTGACCACTACCGCCACTCTCCCGCCTTCATCACCCCCACCACCACTAACACCGCCTCTTCTTGCTACAAAACCCCTTACCTTTAACACCTTCCCCCTCTACCCTGACAATTCCCTCCCTTCACCATTATCACTTCGCACATACAGCCTCACACCTCCATCACTTCCACACCATCACCCCCACCAACAATCTTATCAATCCTCACCATTACCCCACACCTCTACCCATGTCAACACAATCCCCACTCCCCGACATCATGCCTACTCCATCATCCCCACCAACACAATCACTCCCCACCATCACCCCTACTCCTCCACCATCATCATCCCTCCCCAACATCCCTATTTCTCCACCAACACACTCCTCAAAAACCACCCGTACCCCTGCACAAACACAATCATCACTCTCCAACGCCACCCCCACTCCTCCACCCCTACCATCACTCCCCAACACCTCCACCACAAACCATACTGACCTTCGTTCTCGTCCTCGTCATCGAAGTCTTCAAGAGGAGCGATGTCGTTGGGTGTGTTCATAGACATGAGGGACGCCATACTCTGCATGTCCTCATCTCTGTTGACATAGACACACACAACATTAGTTACTGCTACTGTGTGTGTGTGTGTGTGTACTCACTGTGTTGGGGGTGTTGGGGGGGTCGAGTCCGGCTCTTGGCCCCGCTCTTCACTGATCGTATAGGTTCAGTCTCCGACCGTGAGCTTTATGTACCTGCGTTAAAGCTATGTATGGATCCGCCTCACTACATCGCTTCCAAACGTATTCCTACTTACTGACTACGTTCTGTGCTTGAAGAAATACTCCTAACTCCCTGTGATTACATCTGTGTCTTTAGCATTCCAACTGTGTCCCTTTTACTGTGTCCAATCTCTGGAAATCCTTTTTTTGTCAGCACCTTGTCAATTCCTCTCAGTATTTTGTATGTTCGTTTATCATGTCCCCCTATTCTCCTGTCCCTCAGTGTCGTCAGGTTGATATTCCCTTAACCTCTCCTCGTAAAGGACATACCTCTTAGCTCTGGGACTAACTTGTTGCAGTATTTGCACTTTCAGTTTCTTTAGTGTATGCTAGGTGTGGTTCCAAACTGGGTCCGCCGCATACTCCACATATGGGCCTAACGTATACGGTTCAGGGTCCTGACGATTCCTTATTAAGATGTCGGAATGCTGTTTGAGGTTTGCAGGCGCCTCATATGCTGCAGCAGTTTCATTTGGTTGATGTGCGCTTCAGGATGTGTGCCTGGTGTGTTATCACCCAAGATCTTTGTCACTTGAGTGAGGTTTGTAGTCTTGACCCCTAGACTGTACTCGTCAGCGGCCTTTTTGCCACTTCCAATCTTCATGACTTGCCTTGGTGGGATTGAACTTCCGGAGCAAATTGCTGGACATTCTGCAGCCTGTTCCGACCCTTTGTAGTTGGAACTGGTTCGTCGATTCAGAGTGTATTCTCTCTACTTCAGTCATCTGCAAACAGGGACACCTCAGAGTCTATTCCTTCCGTCATATCGTTCACAAATACCAGAAACAGCACTGGTCCTAGGACTGACCCTGCGGGACCCCGTGGTCACAGGTGCCCACTCTGACACCTCGCCACGTACCATGACTCGCTGCTGTCTTCCTGACAAGTATTCCCTGATCCATTGTAGTGCCTTCCTGTTATCCCTGCTTGGTCCTCCAGTTTTTGCACCAATCTCTTGTGTGGAACTGTGTCAAACGCACTTCTTGCAGTCCAAGAAAATGCATCCACCCACCCTCTCTCTCTTGTCTTACTGCTGCACCATGTCATAGAACTCCAGTAGGTTTGTGACACAGGATTTCCGTCCCTGAAACCATGCTGGCTGCTGTTGATGAGATCATTCCTTTCTAGGTGTTCCACCACTCTTCCCTGATAATCTTCTCCATGTGTGTGTGTGTGTGTGTGTGTGTGTGTGTGTGTGTGTGTGTGTGTGTGTGGTGTGTGTGTGTGTTGTGTGTGTGTGTGTGTGTTGTGTGTGTGTGCATGTGTGTGTTAGATTACAGAAATATTTAAGAGCTTGGGTTATTATACTCATAAGGGTCGTGAAGTGCCTGGTAAATCCGCAGGCAATTAGACATGATCCAAGGGAAGGACGTATTCAACTTCCTGGATGAAAACCCCTCACTGTTGTCTGGGAACCTGCCTTGAGAACTTACTATGAGATGAGAGTAATTACGTAATATATACAATAGTAACAATACTAACAGCATAATAATAATAATAATAACAGGAGAAATATTATTTACTAATAGTAATAATAATAATAGTAATAGCAATAGTAATAGAAATTGTAATAATAGCAATAGTAATAATGATAATAGTAAGAACAATAGTAATATGAATTGTAATAATAGTAGTAGCAATAGTAATGATAATATCAAACAATAGTAATATCAAAAGCAACAATAATAGCAGGAGTGACAAACAGTAATTGCAGGTAGTATTAAGAATAGATAATGTCTGTTGTGTAAAATAATCTCAATAGTTCTCCTGGAGTCCGCCAGCAGCAACAGTCTGGTTGACCAGGCATGCACTAGACAAGTCTGGCCCAGGGTCGGGCTCCAGGGTGTAGGAAAACTCTCGAAATCTTATATAGGTAAAGGTACGTTTTGCCACGAGGCAGAGTAAAACATCAACAGAAACTTTTTTGTCAATAAAAGTCCTACGTTCTATTTGTATATTTTACTGTAACAATGTTTCGCCCTGTGTGGAACTTCATCGTGATTTAATATATTTGTATATTTTACTGTAACAATGTTTCGCCTGTGTGGAACTTCATCGTGATTTAATATATTTGTATATTTTACTGTAACAATGTTTCGCCCTGTGTGGAACTTCATCGTGATTTAATATATTTGTATATTTTACTTGTAACAATGTTTCGCCATGTGTGGAACTTCATCGTGATTTAATATATTTGTATATTTTACTGTAACAATGTTTCGCCCTGTGTGGAACTTCATCGTGATTTAATATATTTGTATATTTTACTGTAACAATGTTTCGCCATGTGTGGAACTTCATCGTGATTTAATATATTTGTATATTTTACTGTAACAATGTTTCGCCATGTGTGGAACTTCATCGTGATTTAATATATTTGTATATTTTACTGTAACAATGTTTCGCCCTGTGTGGAACTTCATCGTGATTTAATATATTTGTATATTTTGTCATTATTAGATAACATAATAAAGCTCTAGACCTTTATTATGTCTTCGTGAAGCTCTGGGTGGCTCGTGGCCTGGTAGGCAAAGCTCTTGCTTCACACGCTGAGGGTCCGGGTTCGATTCCCGGCAAGGGTAAATATATTGGGCGTGTTTCCTTACACCTGTTGTCCATGTTCATTCATCAGTAAAATGGGTACCTGGGTGTTAGTACACTGGTGTGGGTCGCATCCTGGGACAAAACTGACATAATTTGCCCGAAATGCTCAGCATAACAAGCGGCTTTCTATATAGTAGTATGTCATTGTTGTTAGCTAGGACTGTATACCTTGTACATGTACTTGTAGATGTGAAGAGATTATTATTATTATTATTATTATTATTTAGAGCCTTGTCATGCCTTTATAAAGCTCTACACAAGGTGAAACATTGTCCATATAAATGTTGTGTAAAGCGTGTTCTACAATGTTATGGGCAGTACGACATATTGATTCAAAACTGGCGTTGGCAGCAGCCTGGCCAGAGAAGAGTGTGGCGAGAACCTTGTTGTTTTCTATGTACTCATCACATGTACACTGGTACGCTGGTAGTGCTACCAGCGATGACATAATGTTATTGGCAGATGGTCTTCTGAATATATTTATTTTTGTATTCTTGTCGAATATTGTATAGGGGTGGGGGGGGGTAGAGGAGGAGGGAGAGAGAGCGTAAGGCAGTAACCTACTCAGGCAAGGAGGCGTACACACACACACACACACACACACACACACACACACACACACACACACATGATGCATTGCAAATAAGCAGATATCTGAGGCTCGGGGGCAAGACGCACTACTCTCCTCCACCAGGAAGGTCCACCACCACCATCAAATTCACCACCCACCGCCCACCAATACACTCACCACAGCACCGCCCACCCCCACACAACCCACCACACACCCCCACCATAAGCAAGACGCCTTGCACCACCACACAACTCCAGCTCTGCTGCAACGAAAACTTTGAAGCTGCCGTAGCCACTGAGCCCATAGTGGAATACTCAATGATATCCTCATCACCGTACTGAAGTCTCCCAGCTCAGGATAACACATTTTCATTACTTCATGCATACAATCCACCCTGTGTGTTGGAATATGGCAGAGAACAATAGCTGTGTTTGTTTCCATAATGTAACTCAAACAGAATCGTGTAGCTGCCTAGCAACGAGTGAAAAATTAAGGAAACACAGACATCACACCCATTACAAAGACGACTTTCTTGGGAATATAAACACGTGACATTTCCGGAGGGTACCTGCACTTGTTGGTTACCTGCAGTTGCTTCCGGGGGTCACCGCTCCCGCGGCCCGCTCCCAGACCAAGCTTCCTGGTTGCTGGCTTGCTGGTACCAAATAGCAAAAAAATAAGGGAAAACAGATGAGGAGCGATTGATAATCACAAACCACTGGTGATTAAAGAGTCGGGAAGCTTGGAGTTTGTGTGTTCAAAGACTATAACAGCGGACACCATCATACATGGACGGTGAACGGTGATAGTGTTTTGTTTCACTTACAAAACATTAGAACAGTTTCATCAAGTACATTAAACAAATACCGTTTCCAACTTATCAAATTATCACTAACAATATCATTTTGATACTGTCAGGAAACAGTTCGAAGTGTTAGCAAATTTTGACGAAAGGGAAAATATTCGCAGAAATTTGTACTGAAACAGATTTTGTCTTGTTAGCAAAATTAATAGTGTTACATAACCAGCAGCGAACAACAGAGGGCAAAGATAGTACAATGAGAGCAAGACGACAGCAGTACCACACACATTAGAAACAGTAACAGTCATACAATACTATCTCTCCAATATCCAAAAGAAAGAAGAACTTAAAGGATGACTTTAAAAAGAAAGACTGTGAGCGAATAAAAAAAATGTGAAAGGAAACTGGGAGGTACAACAATTCACAAGATAATTGAAGGTTGATACCAAACATGTGGAGAAGAAAAGGGGAAAACAGGGATCCACAAGGTTCAACTAGGAATATGGAGGTCCCAGGGAAAACATCATGAGAAATACACACCAAGAAAAAATTACATCCCCATTTCTACAGCAGCAAATTTTGGTAAATAGGGTAATATTCTTGCCAACCCCATGGAGTTGTTGAGTTCTTAGGCAAGCACCCGGGGGGAGAGAGGGGGGGTGGGAGGGCCAACCCTGAACTAGGACTACCCAAACCCCACCACGTACCCCGAGGGAAGAGGGACGAAGGGGGAATAGTAGGGCCAACAGTGAGCTAGGACTGCTCAAACCCCACCACGCACCCTGGGGAGATGTGCGGAGAGGGATGGGGGATAGGAAGGCCAACCCCAAGCTAGGACTG